TTTAAGTAATTATTGCACACTTTCTGTAAATCCTATAAACTTCATTTCACTTCTTAAATATCACTGTGTTTGTTTGATATATGATATATTTAATTGAAATTGCTGATCCGAACAACCAATGATCCATAGAGGAAAATCTTGAAAGTGCCCAAACATTTTCATACCACTGTATATTTCATGTTCAGGCAATGTAATGTGTATTTTATGTTTCGATTGCTTTACTTAGATTCAACTTAAATTTCGTACGCTTGCATAAAACCATTTATATTGAAGGTAACGCAGCCACAATTGTGCTTATACTGTATGTACATGATGTAAACAAAAACTGCTGCACCATTTTTCATGATTTTTTGATAAATTATAAACTAGGGATGTCAAACTGATATTATAGCCCTGATATTAGTATAATTATTTAATAAATGTTCAAATTTGTTGAAGCCTCTATGGGGCGCCACAATAAAAGTAGGTAATGTGTTAATTCCACGACAGGAGATATGTGATGTGACCTAAAATTAGTTTTGGGTAAACAGCTAAATGTATCGGTATCGGTTGACATCGGAATCGGAAATGTTTGGGAAGTATCGGCGGACATTGATAAAGTTATAGCTCAAACAATATTTCATGCAAATCGAGTAAAACCACGGCATAGCTATTGTGCAGTTATTTTACTCCAATGCGAGTAAAACCACGGCATAGCTATTGTGCGGTTATTTTACTATATGACATGAGATATTGATCTTGATTGATCCCGATTGATTGCAATAATTTGTCCCTGCTTTGTCTCATCCAGATGACACATTTGGGCCCAGGTTGCTTCAAATGTGCAACCAGGCACTATTTGAATGTCTGGGGCTCAACCTGCACTGCCTGAGAGGAGACCAGAGAGCTCTGACTGCAGTGGTCAACCACAGAATAGTAAGTACATGTTACATTATAGTCTTCCAACAGGTGTGTCCATTTTCACCAGGGGTCAGGGGAGGGTCACATCATCAGTACAGTTCCCCTTGAAGGGCCAGTTGTAAGCTCTAAGACTGCATAGATCTAACTACTTGTAGTAGATGGAATGTGATTGGTTTAAAGCTCAGTTTATATAGATGTTTCTGCAATTCTCTTTAGGAAATAGCACTATGATAATCATGTTGCTGCAGTCGTGTGATACCTTTATTAATAAGTGATGAAGGCAGCAATTAGCCACTGTTACATTTCCATGTCCTTTTTCTGTCTGTCCTCAGCACAGTTCCATATAATCTCAGTGGTGCCTCCATTACTTTTGTCGCCCTTCTGCTCAAGCGTACTGTAGTTGTGTAAAAGTCATAAATGCTCAATGCTTTAAAGCATTGAGCATTTTCTACACCATCTATTGGAGAAATAAGGGCATTGCAGGTGAAAAGGCAGAAGTATAACGATAATAGAAATAAATAACATAATTCGGACAAGTTTGACAGTTGCATCCAGCCCCCGGGCCTTAGTTTACCCATGCTATTTTTTTTTTGGGCACACTTCTGCACCAGATGGATTTTTTTTTTTTTTTTTTTTTTAAATTATTTGGTTGTTTTACCCCAGGCGGCTTTTTATATAATTTTTT